TTATAATGAGGAACCCCAAAATAGTATAGGTAATTATGTAGGCCCCTATAGTATCGGGTGTGGGGTTTTGGGTTGAAGGTTTCAGAGCTTGGCCCTGATCAAGCACGCCGCCCTTCGGTGAGATGCTATGGTAGAAGCCCAACAGTGGGAAACCCAATAGCCTCAATCCTTAAGAGTAATGTATATGGAATCCCAGCACTATGTGTCCTTAATCCGGTTTCCAACTTTTTGGGGTTTACCATACGTGCCTCCTACTACAACCTTTACTGAACAACGAAAGGTTTAAGAATCAGGGGTCTACAATACTCAGGATCGCAACAACGATGCCCACAATGGATCTACAAGCTGGGTAAGTCGCCAGACACGGAACTCACATTTTCAAAACGACTCAAAGGCGTCGCCTGACAGGTCTTGGGACTAATAGCTGTGAGGGATCGAGAGGTTTTGGGCTTAGGGTTTAAGTTTTAGGGGTTTGGGGGTTGAAGTTTGGGCATTTCGGTTGCTGGTTGTGGGTTCAGGGGCTTAATGAGTTTGCAGCTGCGTGGCAAAGAAAAGCGCAAGCTGTGTAGCCACAGCCTCGGCACTGCTCACCGCCTAAAGCTTGAACCCTAAACCCTAAACCCTAAACCCTAAACCCTAAACCCTAAAGCCGTAAGCCCTAAACCCCAAACTCCTACGCCCTGAAGAAATCTTAGTCATTTGGAATTTGGCAAAATTTCGAGGCTTTAGGATGTAGGGTTCCCCCCCAAGCCCCACCTGACGACCCCGTGACGAATTTCTGCAACCATGCGTCAGATTGTCCCCATGGTGTCATCATCGCACTGGCCACTGGAGCTCCTTCGCAGAAACCTTAAATAAACCCCTATACCTAAACCCTGAACCCTAAACCCTAAACCACTATACCCCTATACCCCTATACCCCTAAACCCCCTAAGTGGCAGCGACCTTTGCGGTCTATTTGGAACTAGCTTCTCTTCCATGAATGAGCTCAGGGAGCATTGCATGTCTAGCTTTGTATAAGCCATTGTTACGAACTTCTGGGAAAGCGCCTTCTCACATAGTGCCGTGTGGGGATATAGGTTCAAAGCTGCAGTGAGTTATGTAATTTTGGGGGGGCACGGCGCGCTAAAACCTAAATCTGAACCCAAAACCCTAAACCGCAAACCTGGACCCTGAACTAGACCCTAAACTCTGAACCCCAAACCCTAAACCCTAGGCCCTGAACTAAACCCTAAATTCTGAACCCAAAACCCTGAACTCTAAGCCTCAAAGCTCGCTGGAAGAAGGAGCCTGAAGCAAGCTCTTGATTTATAAGATTATAGCTGAATGCACAAAAAGGCGGCATCCTCGACGTCCTCACGACTGAACCTGAAAATCTCGACCCTAAATGGCCCGGTATCCTAACCCTCGACCCTGAATACAAGGGGGCCTTAATAATTAGAACAGGGTTCCTTTAAAGGGTTGCTTTAGAGGAGTCTCTAAGGGTTACTATAAGGGCTGTTATGAGGTAGGGTTCCTTTAAAGGGTTCCTTTAAAGGGTCTATAAGGGTTACTATACGGCTGTTATAAGGATAAAGTCTAGGGGCCTCAATGGCCTTAACGATTGGAAGAGAGGGTTTTGGGGCTCGTTGCACTATATGTATAATAATAAGGAAGCTTCACAATAGCACAGGTAGGCCTAGACCCCTATATTAAGCCTTCCACCCTCATCTCCCTTCTAAAACCCAGCCCTTGTTTTTAAGCCTTCAACCCTTATATCTCCCTTCTAAAACAACCCAAGCGTAGCTTCACAAAAAACCCACAAAAAGGCCCGTGCAAAGCCCATACAGACCCCCAGCGAGCCCTGAACACTAAACCGAAACCATGGGAAGCCCTCGAAAGCAACTGTAAACCCTGAGAAGACCAAGTAGGGTTTAGGGTTTCAGGGGTTTCAGGGATTAGGATTTTAGGGTCTAGGGACTTGCAGGTAAGATTAATAGGGTTTAGGGTTTCAGGGTTTCAGGGTTTAGGATTTTAGGGTCTAGGGATTTGCAGGTAAGATTCGGAAGGCAGCATTCCGAGGCATGTGCCTTCGGACCATACGCGCTGGTGGGGGTTTAGGGGCAAGGAAGCTTCGGCTGGTTGGGCTTCGGATTTAAAGTTTAGGGTTTGGGGGTTAAGGGTTAGGGTTGAGGGTATAGAGTTTAGAGTTGAAGGCGCGTGGAGTCTTGAGGTATGTTGGGCACCGAGAAATGGAACCTGATTCAGAGAAAAACCTGCTTGCTACTCTCAACCCTACTTCCTCCGTGCCCAACCCCAAAGACTGCACGGAGCCCTGGTTTCCCAAGATGCCAAGTTTAAGCCCAAATGCGGCGCGCTCTACGACCCTAAACACCAACCCCGGACATCCTACACAGTCCTACACACACGAAAATCAAACAAAAAAGAACCTGAAGCTCCCGACATCCTAACGAAGATACGCAAAGGCCCAAACCACGACCAAAAAAGCCGAAATCCCTAAACCTTAAACCCTAAACCCTAAAACCCTAAACCCTAAACCCTAAAACCCTAAACCCTAAACCCTAAAACCCTAAATCCTAAACCTCTTTATCATTATGAATTTAAACCTTAATGTCTTCGTGGCGCCTAAGGGTTTTTACCCTTGTTCGTGGCGCGAAATCCCGAAAAACCCTTGTTCGTGGCGCGGGGCTCTCCAAAAAACCCTTATTCGCGGCGCGACCGCGCCTCCCGCGCCACGAACAAGGGTTTTTCGGGATGTCGCGTTCTCCAAAAAAACCCTTGTTCGTGGCGCGACCGCGCCTCCCGAGCCACGAACAAGGGTTTTTCGGGATGTCGCCCCACGAATAAGGGTTTTTTTTGAAATTCCCGCGCCACGAACAAGGGTTTTTTCGGGATGTCGCGCCACCAACAAGGGTTTTCTAGAGAAACCCGCGCCACGAACAAGGGTGTTTCGGGATTTCGCGGCACGAACGAGGGTCCCGCGCCATGAACAAGGGTCTTTTAGGAAAAACTCTGTTCGTGGCGGGGAATCTCGAAAATCCCTTGTTCGTGGCGCGTGGCCGCAAATCCTGGCCACGAACAAGGATTTTTTGGAATGAGGCGTGGGCTTTACGGTTTAGGGCCTAGGGCTTGGGCTTTAGGGTTTAGGGCCTAGGGTTTGCGCTTGAGGGTTTAGGGCCTATGGTTTGGGCTTTAGGGTTTAGGGCCTATGGTTTGGTAGAGCCTTTGGGTTTAGGGCTGTGGGTTTGGGCTTTAGGGTTTGGACCTAGGGTTTGAGCTTTAAGGTTTTTGTGTTTAGGGCCTTGGGTTTGGGCTAAAAGGCTTAGGGCCTAGGGTCAAGGCTGCTAGGCTGGCCTTTGGGCTAACTTGAAGATTTGTGGAGTGGCTTTTCGATTTAGGGCAACATAGTTATAGAAGTATGTGAGTCCAAGTTGGCTTAAAAATTGAAAAGTTTTATTTTCCCAATGTTATGGGATTCAGGGGTGGGTGGGTGTTATATCCAAACTGTAAGTATAACTGTACTGCAAAATTTCACGGACCGGAGCTGCTGAACCCTAAACCCTAAACCCTAAACCCTAAACCCTAAACCCGAAATCCCGACCCCCAATCGGCCTGGAGGGCTTGCGCGAGTAGCACGGCCACGGCTTTGGCCATGGCCCAAAAGCATAAGGAGGCTGATTAGGGTTTAGGGTTTAGGGTTTAGGGTTTGGGGTTTAGGGTTTGGGGTTTAGGGTTTAAGGTTTAGGGTTTAGGGTTAAAGGGAACTCCAGAAAGTTGGAATATGGTTTCAGGGTAGGATACCTTATAATTTACCATAGAAGGGTTTAGGAGAACCATATTCCAACTTTCTGGCTTTTACTTTAAGGAGGCTGAACCTCCCTCAAGAGCAGGACCCTCTGATAACCCTCACAGGCGGGGCTTATCATCAAGGGACACAAACTAGGGCTTGAGACTTTGGGGTTTGGCTGTAGCTTCCAAGGCTCAGGCTCTGGGTTTGGGGTCCGTGTTTTTAGGGTTTAGGGCTTCGGGCTTCGGGCTTAGGGTTTAGGTTGTAAGCTATCAGTTTCGTGAAGTTTGCTTGGTAGGGAATGGAGGAATGGGGTACAATTATAACTACTATTACTAGCATTCTTCCATTCCCTACTAACCAAAGGTAAGGTTTGGGGTGTTTGGGTTTCAGCCCAAACGGGCTCGCGGCTTGAGTGGCTTAGGGTTGAGGGCTTCGCTTCGCGGCTTCGCACATCTACCATCGGACTGAGGAGGGAAGACTCCCTAAAAACCCTCTACCCTGTAAGCCGGGATTCAGTTGGGGCGGTTTGGGGTTTAGGGTTTAGGGTTGCGGTTTGGGGATTAGGGTGTAGGGCTCAGAGCTGAGAGTTTAGGTTGAGCGAGCATCGTGTGGAGCGCAGCCTCGCATGCCGAGATCCACAGTCTCGACGATCGGTTCCTTCTTATAATCATAGTAGAATGGGCCCCAAAACCCTATTCTCATTGCTTAGGCCCCCCGAGAAGTTCGGGGTTCATGGTTAAGGGTTTCGGCTTCATGGCTTTAATGTAGGAACCTGATTAAGAAACCTTGGGCCTTTAATAGGGTTCCTGATATGAACCTTACGATTTTGGGGTTATAGGCCCAGGGTTTCTTGATCAGGTTCCTGCATTACCCTCTTTGAGGTTTTCCGGTGTAGTAGGAGTTCAGGGTATCTGAGCCCTAGACCCTCAAGCCGAATGAAAGGCCGTAGCAGTGTTTCAGCAGGCTTCTACCATGCGCCGTGAGTCAACTCCTACCGTAAAACCTAAATCCTCAACCCTAAACCAAAACCCCAAGTCCCACCTCCTGACATCCTAAACCCAAAACCTTAAACCCCAAAACCTGAAACCCTAAATCCAAAAATCTAAACCCTGAATCCTAAACTCCAAACCTTAAACCCGAAACCCTCAATCCTAAGCCCGCTTAAGGGGACGAGCCGTGAAGATCTGACTGCTTCTCTGGGCATCCGGGCGGTTTCCGCCGCCTCGTGTGCCGAATCTAAGAGGTGAGACCTGATCTTTGCTTTAGGGCTTTGGTTAACAGGCATGTTTTCCCTCAGGCTTCCTCCCAAACCCTGAACCCTAAACCCGATTTACGGATTAGGGTTTAGGATTCAGGACTTCGGGTTTAGAATTCAACAAATAGGTAACTAGATAACTCCAAACATATACACATGGGATCCCTTAAGGAACCCTTAAAGGATCCCTAGGCGGAACCCCCAAAGGAACCCTTATAGGAACCCTTAAAGGCTTCCTTGAAGGCTGCTTCCGGAATTTAGCCTCCCGGCCGAACCGCTTTATGCATTTAGGGTCTGGGAGGGTTGAAGGTTCAGGGGTTTGGGGGTTTAGGGTCTAGGGTTCAGGGTCTAGGGTTCGGTTTAAGGTTTAGGGTCTAGGGTTCGGTTTAAGGTTTAGGGCTCAGGGTCTAGGGTTCGGTTGTGGGTTTAGGGTTTAGGGTCTAGGGTTCGGTTTAAGGTTTAGGGTCTAGGGTTCGGTTTAGGGTTTAGGGTCTAGGGTTCAGAAGTAAAATCGCGCAGCAAAGCTTTGCAGGGCCAAGGGGCAACTCGAGTCTCGCCGACTCTTCTTCCTCCTGGCAGCTTCTATAAGGGTTTGTTTTGGGGGTTCCTTTTAGGGATCCTTTACGGGTTCCTTCAGGGATCCTGTAAGGGTTCCTATAAGGGTTCCTTTAAGGGATCCTTTAAGGGTTCATAAGGGATGCTTGAAGGGTTCCTATAAGGGTTCCTTTGAAGGTTCCTCTTAGGGATCCTTTATATAAGGGTTCCTGAAGGGATCCTTTAAGGGTTCCTATAAGGGTTCCTCTGAGGCTTCCTTCAAGGGATCCTTCGAGGGATGCCTTCTAGAATCCGTTAAGGGATTGCCTCATGGAATCCCAAAAGAGGTTTCGTTATTCTCAAAAAGGTTTAGGGCTTGGGGTTTCGGGCATTGAAAAAGGCCTCAGGGCTTCTTTAGGGTTTAAAGGATTTTCTTTTGTTGGCGTCTGCACGTGGATTTAGGGTTTAGGGTTATATGGGATTCTACAGGGGTTGTTTTGCGGTGTTATGTGAGGTTCCATAAAGATTTTGACCTTGCCACAGACCACATGACATAAATTGCAAGCTTCAGGGGGATGTACAGAAAAGCACGAAACATTTATCATGGGAAGTTGCAACCAAGTAGTTCCGTTACAAGAACTTAGGAAGTGCTCCCCACTGGCATGCCAAACCCCTGAACCCTAAACGCCTAAACCCTAAACTCAAAACTCCTAAACTCCTAAACCCTAAACCCTAAACCCTGAACTCCTAAACTCCTGAACTCCTAAACCCTAAACTCCCAAACTCCTAAACTCCTAAACCTTAAACCCCAAACTTCGACCTCTCAAGCCCTCGAGCCCCTGGCCTAAACCGTCAATCCTACGCTCAGGCCGTAGGCCCGACGCTGTCACAACCTTATGGAACCCTACAGTGCCTACTGAGAGGTTCAGGGGTAGTTGTAAGTAGGGTTATAAGCCCCATAATATGGGTTATAAGTATTGTTACCCTACTTGTAACCCTACTTATAACCGCCCATGAACCTCCAAGTAGCAACACCCCCATAGGCATTGGACTTGATTGCATGCTTCAGTCTATTTTTGCGGATGCATACAGGGCTTCTCCTTGTTTAGGGTACAAGTTGGGTACTGCCCCCATACGGCAACAGTCCATAATAACGCCACAGTATGTCTATATTTTGAAGATCAGTCACCTGTTAATGACTGAGTTTGGGCAGTCTCGAAGGAATAAGGCTTCTGTTGCTTTTAGGGGCTCTTCTGTGCCCCACAACCCTGAGCCATGAAGCCCGCAAGTCTAGGACCCTGAAACCCCCAACCCTGAAGCCGGCGCAACACCCGAAACCCTTCGGACTCAGGGATTAGGGCTTAGAAGGGCTCCTTTAAGGGGGGGTGTACTATAAAGGTACTAGAAGGGTTCCTTTAAAAGGGCTCTACTATACGGGGTACTATAAGGATTCCTTTACAAACTAAACCCCAGAGCCTCATGAAAACCCCTTACCACAGAACTTACAAGCCTGATTGAACAAAAAACTAAGGAACTGAAAACTAGAGTATACAACGGCTGCCCTATCTCCAAAACCCAGAAGAGAGCCCAATACCCCTTAATTAAGGAATATGGCTTAAATTATATAGCGCTTAATATTATGATTTAAGCTATACAACCGTAAACACAGCCGGTCCTCGCGCGCCTTTTGCGCTTCACCACGATGCGCCTGGGCGGGATTTGCTCCGGGGTAGGGGTTAGGGCTTTAAGGTTTTTTTGGGCTAGGGTTTCGGGCTTAGGGGCTTAGGGTCTAGGGTTTAGGGGTTCAGGGGTTTAGGGTTTTAAGGTTTCGGGCAGGGCGAGTTTAGGGAGTTGGGGCGTTTATTGTATTTACGGTGCTTGCAGGGCTTCTCGTGTTTTAGTGTGTTTGGCGTTTTGGGCTTAGGGTCTAGGTTTTGGGGTTTACTACATTCAAAACGATCTGGAACAAGCTGCCAGGAATCATATGGATAACCTGGATAACTATCCCCGGGGCTCAAAATAGCCGAAAACCTCATATATTACGGTCTTTGGGCCCAAAAGCCTTGATATATGAGTCCTTAGAGCCCAAGGATACGTCATTTAAACCCGCACCTTGCACAAACCCATTCAGCCTGTGCGCCGGACTCGAAGTTCAAACGGTCAGACAGGACATCTCCAATCTCCCAACCTAAACTGGGCTTTTAAGTAACCAGGAAGAAAGAAGTATAAGCTTGCATTTCATAATGGTTCCTTCAAGAAAGAAGTATTAAAGTATAAGTATGGTACTCCAAAGCCCAGTAAACCCATAACTTTCAAACTGCTTTTGCCCAGAGAGCCCACTACTCCAATCTCTGCCTTGAACTATGGGGGGCCTCCTTGTGGTATGGTTTAAGGTATAATCCTTTTCTACGGGGTATTGAGCTCTGCTGTGTGAGGATGAGGAGCCTTACGGCCTAACCCTGAACCCGTTTAAGGTTGACATTGGGTTTAAGGCTTGGGGAGTGTAGGGTCTTACGGTTTGAAGGGTTTGAAGTTTGCAAGGGTCCCTAGAACCCTAAACCCCTAAGGGTCCCTATGATTGAGGGTTGCGGCCTCCAAACCATCGACCATAGCCTGCACGCGGCTTTCGAGCTGCTCGCGCAGCCTGGATGCAGGGCTGGCATCGGGTCCCGGTCCTTCTTGGCACTTACGGTTGATGATATAGATCCTGCATTACCCATAATAGGGAATATACCATGATTCCCAAAGTCTAGGGCCATGAAGGTAATGCAGGACCTACATCGTCAACCGTAGTTTAGGATTTAAGGCTTTGGGATGGGGGTCTAGTCAGTGAGGATTTGGTTTTCGATAGCTCCATCTTCCAACAGGTCGGGTACGCCGAGTACATGATCACACCGGTCAGCATATGACGTTTATCCGCATCGGGCCGGTCCAACGAATACCACACCATACAGAGTACATGTAACACAACACTCAATAACACTTGACCATGCCAGTGACTGCATTCACAACAACAACTTTCAGAAAGCTATATGGCAAAATCCGTCCCTTATCGATGCATGCATGCAACACATGAAAACCAAAGTCTGAAACAATCTCAAATGGAAACACTCACTAGCACTGCTGTCAGCTAGCGGCATCTGTACATATGGTACATGCAGAAAATACGTTGTATAGAACTTTTCCTGGTAAGATCCTGATAATACGGACCCCCCAATGAAGTACCCAGAAGTGTAGAGAGACACCCTGCATGTGCCCTCGCAGTTACACTCAAATAAAATCAAGGCTTAGGGTTTAGGTTGGAGGAAAGCCACAAGACTGATCCCACCCTAAACCCTAAACCCCTCAACCCTAAACCCCTCACCCCTAAACCCTCAACCTCGAATGAGTTCTCATGGCTCCTCCTCCCACCTCCCACGCCCCTCTCCGCCCCAGAGGCGTAATGCCTGAAAACCCTGATCTCCAACCTTGGGCTATTACTAGGCCCTGCAAACCAAAACTCCCTAAACCCTAGACCCCAAATTCCCTAAACCCTAAATTCCGGAAACCCGAAAGCCCCAAAAGAACCACACAAAAACCCATGAAATCCCCAGAGCTCTGAATCCCTCAATTCCCCAGACCCCACAACACACTTACAAGCCGGAATCCCTCAACCCGTTTTGGGTTTATAAGGGTTTACTGTTAAGGGTTCTAGGCTGCAGGGTTTAGAGTTTAGGGTTTAGGGCCCCCGCAAAACCACTAAACTCTAAACCCTAAACCCAAAAAAAAACCCAAAACCCTAAACTATTCTCAAACCCCTCCCCCCTGTTTCAGTTCGGAAGCTCTGCGCACTCTTCCCGGTGGTAGTCTTCCAGATCCTCAGTGAGTTGCACCTGGGAGGTATCCAGAGAGCCCAATACCCCTTAAGGAAGGAATATAGCTTAAATCATAATATGAAGCCTTATATAATTTAAGCCATATTCCTTAGCTAAGGGGTATTGGGCAGTCTGGGTACACAATTTACGGAGCCTCTTGACCTCTAAGGCTCAGGAGATGCGGGGATTTTATCGCACCAGAGCCCACAGGCTCAGCTAAAGTCGGCCCCGATTCGAGGTCCCCAACTACTATTTGCTTAAGAACCCCCAAAAAAATAGAAAATATATTCCTTATGGGGGTAGTATAGGGATTGGGATTTTTATTTTTTGGGGGTTTCTTAAGCAAATAGTAGCCAAAGAGGGGCGCCTTCAAGCTCAGGGCTGACAGGGGTTTAGGACCTTGGGGCTTCTGGGTCTTGGCGGGGGGGCTTCTAGGGCTTGGGAATGAGAGCTAAAGTGTTAGGGTTTCGGGGGCTTCGGGTTTAGGGTTCAGGGTTTAGGGTTTAAGATTAGGGTTTAGGGTTTAGGGTTCAGGGTTTAGGGTTTAGGATTAGGGTTTCGGGCTTCGGGTTTAGGGTTCAGGGTCTTGGCGTAGGGTTCAGGGCTGAGGAGAATTTAGGATTTGCTGTACACAGGCTCGGAATACGGACGGTCTGCACAACGCGGGAGACCGAGTCTCCACACAAATGGTTATGAACAAATGCGAGTGGCCGGATGGTTGCCGACATGCGCGCGAGTGTGCAGACAAGTTCATGTCTGTGATTGTGTCTCTTCCGTTAAGCCTGCCTTATGCCGCAAACCCTAAACCGCGCCCCGTGCACATCTTCGTGTCCTGCTCCATGTCATGTAACAGCATGAGCTTGCCGACCGGCTTGCTCCCCGCCGCCTACTCATTTCCTGACAGGCCTTCCGAAGGCCTGCATGGAGCCTTACGCGATCCCTAAGCCTCAACCCTGAAACTCAAACCCCAAACCGCTGGACCTCAGCCCCAAGACCTACATCATGGCCTCCGGAAATCCCCTAAACCCTATACCCCAAACCCCCAAAACCCTACACCGGCAAAAACCAAAATCCCGAGGCCCCTGCCATTCGGTCTTTCAGCCGCCTGTGGGTGTGCACGATGTCGGCCTCGAAGATTCGGCTTCAGTGCTTTCGGCTTCAGGGCTTTTTTGTCTTAGGGTTCAGGGTTTAGGGTTTAGGGTTCAAGGTTTAGGGTTTGTTTAGGGTTCAGGGTTTTGAGTCAAAGGTGAAGGGTTTTGGATTTAGGGTTTAGGGTTCGGGGCTTTGTTGCTTTGCGCGGGCCCAGTAGTGATGTGTGTTTTAGCGGCTTCTTTTCCCGTTGCTTAAAGGATACATAAGCATCATATGTATACACCGGTGTGCATGTATGTGCTTGTTTGCACGCCTGTATTTGTGCGTATACCTATATAGTCAGATAGTTTGAGCCCTTAATGAAAATCCAATTCAAGGTCTGCAAGTCAAGATGTACCCATATGCTTGTTGGCTTGTGTGTACGCTTGTTTGTTTTCTTGGCTGCCAATGTATGTTCGCATGTTTGTGCGTCTGCCTCTCTGCATGTCTGTCTGTCTATCTGTCGGTCGGTCGGTCTGTCTGTCCGTCTGTCCGTCGGTCCGTCCGTCCGTCAGTCCGTCTGTCCGTCTGACCGTCTGCCCGTCTGCCCAGTCTGTCCGTCTGTCCGTCTGTCCGTCTGTCCGTCTGTCCGTGTCCTTGTCTCTTTGTCTCGTTGTCTCTCTGTCTCTTTGTCTCCGTGTCTCTCTGCCTCTCTGCCTCTCTGTCTCTCCGTCTCTCCGTCTCTCTGTCTCTCTGTCTCTCTGTCTCTCTCTCTCTCTCTCTGTCTCTCTGTCTCTCTGTTTCTCTGTCTCTCTGTCTCTCTGTCTCTCTGTCTCTCTGTCTCTCGGTCTCTCCGTCTCTCTGTCTCTCTGTCTCTCTGTCTGTCTGTCTCTCTGTCTCTCTGTCTCTCTGTCTCTCTGTCTCTGTCTCTGTCTGTCTCTCTGTCTGTCTCTCTGTCTCTGTCTGTCTGTTTGTGAGCCTGTCCATGTATGTCTGTCATTGTCTGTTTACGTATGTCTGTCTGCCTGCCTTGCCTCCCGCTGCCTCTCCGCCTCACACTCCTTGATTGGCTGATCCCCCATCCGGTCCTTATTGGCCAAGGAGTGGAAGATGCGGTGCATTCGTCTGTGGCTGCCGGATGCCACGCAAGCTCTCCAGGCTGCTGCCCTAAACCCTAAACCACAAACCGTAAAACGGCCGTGCAGGCCGAACCGGTGGTATTGCACAGGTTCAAGGCCCACGGTTCACGTCAAAATGACGCAAACTCGTCCCGCAAAAAAACACGATTGTCGCTGCGCATTTCAGGGTCTTAGCATGTCTTAGGATTCAAGGTTTAGGGGATGGTTTAGTTTGGATTTTGTTTAACCTATACTTCACAACGACGAGCTTTCAGACCTTAGGCATATCACGACGGCAATGGTAAGGAACTGCAGCGTCCATTTTAACACCGTCCTGCAGCAAACGCAAAACTTGAAGGTGGCCGCGTTGAGAAGGGCTCATAAAAAGAGTGAACCGTCTGTTGCTGCTGAAAGCCTTGCTAGCCCCGACTTCTAGCAGCAAGCGTGCCACTTTAAGGTGGCCTTCTTGTGAGGAGAACAGCAAGGCCGTCATTGTTGACAGCGTCCCTGTCCGCACCAGCCTCCAGCAGCAAGCGGGCAACCTCGAGGTGTCCATGTGCAAAAGCTGTCATCAAGGGAGTTGAACCGTTACCGTCCACAAAGTCCTTGTTGGCGCCGTGCGCTAGCAGCAAGCGCACAACGTCAACGTGGCCTCCTTGACAAGCGAGCATCAAGCCGTGATTGTCCACAGACTCCTTGTCGGTGCCGACCTCTAGCAGCAAGCGCACAACGTCGGCGTGGCCTTCTTGACAAGCGCTCATCAAGCCATTCCAGCCCTCACTGTCCACGACGTCCTTGGTGCCGGCCTCAAGCATCAAGCGCAAAACTTCAATGTGACCGCTGTGACAAGCAAAGGTCAAGCCATTCCAGCCGTGATTGTCCACAGACTCCTTGTTGGTGCCGGCCTCTAGCAGCAAGCGCACAATGTCAACATGGCCATAGTGACAAGCAACGCTCAAGCCAGTCCGGCCGTGATTGTCCACAGACTCCTTGTCGGTGCCGACCTCTAGCAGCAAGCGCACAACGTCGGCGTGGCCTTCTTGACAGGCGCTCATCAAGCCATTCCAGCCCCTACTGTCCACAAAGTCCTTGGCGCCGGCCTCTAGCATCAAGCGCAAAACTTCAACGTGACCCTTGTGACAAGCAAGGGTCAAGCCATTCCAGCCGTGATTGTCCACTGACTCCTTGTCGGTGCCGACCTCTAGCAGCAAGCGCACAACGTCAACATAGCCATTCCGACAAGCCATGCTCAGGCCAGTCCGGCGTCATTGTCTGTAAAGTCCTTGTCGGCACGGGCCTCAAGCATCAAGCTCACAACTTCAACGTCACCGAGGTGACAAGCAAGGATCAAGCCATTCCATCCGTGATTGTCCACAGACTCCTTGTCGGCACCGGCCTCCAGCAGCAAGCGCAAAACCTCAACGTGACCGTAGCAACAAGCATAGATCAAGCCAGTCCGGCCATCATTGTCGGCAAAGTCCTTGTCGGCACCGGCCTCTAGCAGCAAGCGCACAACGTCAACGTGGCCTTCAGAAGATGCTATCGCCAGCGGGCTGTTGCCGGCTGCATCGGTCAAGCCGGGGTCCTGCGGCTTCTGCAGCAAGGCCTCAACCTGAGGGCACTCAAGCATATGTCCTTACAACTCACTGAGTTGTCGTTTAAGCCCTTTGAAAATTATTTACTATTATGTTTCTCTACAAAATAGTAGGGGAAATTTAAAAAGATCCCAAAGGACAACCTAGCTCAACACAAACTATAAGCTTAGACAGAAGAACCTAAGGAGCGGCGGGGAAACACGAGCCTCAGCCACGGAGCCGTTCCGGGCAGCAGTCCCCAGCTCATCTGCTAGGGTCGGTGATGCCTCATGATACGAGAGTAGGAGCAAACCCAACTCCGAAGGCCCGGCCAAGTTCTCGGCATCATGTAAGAGATTGCCTTCATGAAACAGCCTTTGCCTGAACCGTGGAGGCAAACTGTGCTGCCGATGAAGTTGCTGCTTCAATGACTTCACATCGGTCAACTCCACCGCAGGTATGCTCGCCGCCCACTCCCCCGAGATCATCCTAATGCGCAGCATTGTCGCGGAAATCACCTTGAGCCGATGGCGACTTGGCAGAATGAGCCCTACATATCTCTACTGCGGATACTTGGATAAACCTTCTATACTAAGCTCGGACTTAGACACCCTATGCTCTACTATGTATAGGCTCTTGGAACCCTTAGGCAGGTGATGCATGCGCTGACCTTGGCACGATGTCACGAGCTTCTGCAACAGTCTTAAGGCTTAAGTGCGAATTTCTCTGTTAAAGCTCCCATAATCTGGCCTGGAGTACTGCCTCCCGTCCGTCTGCCCATATGTCCGTATGCATGCATGCATGTACAGTATGTACGTATAGAATAAATGAACAAAGTCAACAAAGCATACGCAACAACACTGCTGACACTGTTTCTGAGTATGGTCACAACCGCCGCAAAGCCTGGAAACAAAAGCAAACAGGCAATGGGGTCCTTGCAGGCATGTTGCAGAAGAAGCACGCAAAGAAAACCCGGTCTAAACCTCCAGCCTCACATGTTGATAAAACCTCTATAAACCCCATACAACACGATAGTGCCTATGGCTAAGACTTCTCGCTTCAAGCCAAGAACCAACCTGCCCCGTGCTGGCAGTAACCGACCGTTCTGTCTGAAAGATTAGGGCCCTAAAAAAGCACATAGGGATATCTCATGTAGACCCCCTTATATTGAAGAACAATAAGGATATCCCTGTAAAATGCTTATAACTTACGTCGGTTTGGGGTTCCTAGATGCCCAGCAGCCCACAACCTACACACAGCTTGGGGCCTGTCTCAAACCCTGGAGCCCTCAACCCTAAACCCTAAACCCCAAAAACCTTTTAAGCTCTACACCCTGAACCCTAAAACCCTTAAGCTCTAAACCCTAAACCCTAAAACCCTTAAGCTCTAAACCCTAAACCTTCAAGCCCTAAACCCATGAACACTAAACCCTAAGCCCATAAGCTCTGATTCTGAGATGTGCTTCAACTTTTTCCTGGGTTTAGGGCTCCGGGATTCAACGGGGCTTACAGTGTTGGACATGGTCCCCCAAGTAACATGCACTAGATTCGAGAAGCTGCTGGTGCAAAACTTAAGGCAGCATTACCAATGAACGCTGTTGACAAAGGGGTCACTTAGATGGACCCACAATGTCCACTGATAGAATAGAACTATTAAGTCTAAAGCTGAAAGTATCCACATGCACCTGAGACACTATGCCAAGCCCACATGCCCCTTATCCTGTAACCCAGAAGCCGCCTAAAGCCCTGCGAGCCTGCACCAAGAGCGAGTGCAAGCGCTCCTGCAACGATCTCCAGCTTCGGGGATCAGATGGGAATGATAGCAGGACAGCATCGGGGACAGTAGTAGTGGTGGTAGTAGTAGTAGTAGTAGCAGCAGTGGTAGTAGTAGCAGCAGCAGTACTAGTAGCAGCAGTAGTAGTAGTAGTACTAGTAGTAGTAGTAGTAGTAGCAGTACTAGTAGTAGTACTAGTAGTAGTACTGGTAGTAGTAGTAGTAGTAGTAGTAGTAGTAGTAGTTGTTGTTGTAGTAGTAGTATTAGTAGTAGTAGTAGTAGTAGTAGTAGTAGTAGTAGTAGTAGTAGTAGTGATGGGCTGTAAGTAGTAAGTAGTAATAGTACTAGCCGTCGTCGTCGTCTCAGGACAGTACAAGTAGAAGCAGATGCAGAAGCAGTAGAAGCAGCAGTAAAAGAAGCACAAGCAGTAGCAATAGCAGTAGTACTCGTAGTCGTAGTCGCAGTCGTAGTCGTAGTCGTAGTGGTAGTGTGGTCGTGGTAGTGGTAACAACTGGTCGATAGTGTCGTCGCAGAACCAGTGGCAGCAGAAGCAGAAACTGCAGAAGCTACAGTGGGTTTTTTCGGAAATTCGAAATAGTAGTCGTCGTCGTCGTCATGTTGATGCGACTTAAAGCAGCAATGCGCAATAATCACGGTCATGCACACGATCACCATGATCTCAGCCGGATATTAAAACAACAACTTCTTCGGAAAAGACAGAAACGTCACGCATGCCACAAACCATCAGCCATGCGATCGCCGCCATGAATTCAAAACCATCATCAAAAAACCCATATTGGTCCATATTCATCAACATATTCATCAAACCTGAAAACGTGGACCCTAGTCAGCTTGAAAGACCTTGTTATGGAAGACCTTCACACAGCGAGCAAGGGCTTACGCCGCTCCTTGCTTCCTCGCAGGCGCCACAGGCTCTGGAAAAACTCATCGAAACCTGAACGTAGGGTGTGCACAGTTTGTGGAGTTCGCAGCGTAGATCGAATAATCGAACCCTAACCCTAAAATGCAAGCCCTCTTAACCCGGTTACCCAGAAAGCATCTGTACCCCCCCCCCCAAAAAAAAAAAAAAAAGCCTGAACTTTTCGGGTTTCGAGTTCCGCGTTTGGGTTTCGAGGTAGGGTTTCGAGTTAGATTGTATTAGGGTTTAGGGTTTCGGGTCTAGGAGTTTAGGGTTTAGGGTTTAGTTTCGGATCATGGTTTGAAGTTTGAACGCCCAAATGCCCTAGCAGACCTTCGTAGGAACCCTTCTGGGAAAACTTTGCCGCCTAAACCCTAAATCTCTGAATCCTAAAATCTAAACCCTAAACCCCTAAGCCCCTCAACCCTACCAAAAACCCAAAAGCCAAGACAGGCAGCTTAGGCTGCGGACTCAGAGAAGGGAGAACGCTTCAGGCAAAAGGACTTACGGCCAATATGTGCCGGCGATGGTTCGGTTAAAGGGTTTAGGTGTTTTGGGGTTTACGCATATAGTGAAGGCGTTTAGGGCTTTAGGACATTAGGGTTTAAGGTTTTGGGGTTTAGGAAAGCGTTGCTAGAGTGTTTTTTGGAATGAGTATGCTTGCCGGAAGTAGCTCGCTGATGGGAGATGACCATAGTGACTCACGATAGCGACTGAGATGATGATCGTGGTGCGATGATCGTTGCCACGGTGATCGCGATACTTGGGAGCCGGAGTCAGAAGGGTTTAGGCCTCGAGGGTTTATCTAAGGGTTTACGGCTTAAGGGCTCCGACGATACAACCCCAAACCCTAACCCCTAAACCCTAAACCCTAAACCCAAACCCACAGAACCCCTAAACCCAAAACCCTAGATCCTTTAAGGATCCCTTTCAAGGAACCCTATAGAACCCATATAGACCCTTTACGGATCCCTTTTTGGAGGGTCGGGGGACTTAGTAAGTAGTTATTTTAGGGACTTAAGTACCGTAACCCCAATTAGGGTCCCTTGTCGGGTACTTAGAAGTCTACTTACTACCTACTTACTAAGTCCCTAAACCCTAAACCCTATAGTACCCCTATAGAGCCCTTTAAAGGAACCCCTATAATCCCCTTGAAAAGGAGCCCCTACTTGCTAAGTCCCCCGACCCTCCAAGTTTAAAGGAGCCCTAAACCCCATCTCCTCAGCTCCCGACTTAACTCCCCGTCGCCGTTTTCGTCGATGATGCTGAAGAGCTGCTCTTCTGAGAGGTCTAGACCTTAGGCTTAGGGCTCCTTTAAAGGGATCCTTAAAGGGTCTATATGGGCAGGGTTCTATAGGGTTCCTTTAAAGGGATCCTTCAAGGGGGGTTTAGAGTTTAGGGTTTAGGACCTTGGGTTTAGGGTTTAGTGGCTTAGAGTTTCGGGCTTAGAGTTTAGGGTTTAGGGGTTAGGGTCTTCCAGCTTAGAGCCTAGGGTGTAGGGTTCAGGGTTTAGGGTCTAGACCTTGAGATGACGACAACAACCCAGCGCCGCACTGCCAAGACAGAAGACGGGATAACAGAGTTGAAGCAAAAACAACATATGCATATATATATATATATGTATATATGCATACAAACACACATACATACATACGTACATGCATACATACATCATCGTATTGTTCTTCAGGGCTAGAACTACAAATGTAAACACATGTGCCTAAACCCTCTGACCTGAACCCTAAGCCCTAGATTCCAGAAGCCGTACACCCTAATTCCTTTGCCCTGAGGTTAGGGGTCCGAACCCAGATCTTTCTGTGCACCGCACTGCCTCCTTTCAAATGCGTATGTCCAGAGAATCCAAGAACCACTTAAAACCGGAATATTCCTCAAATCATGTTCTGGTCCTTCTTTCTTTATTTGGTCATTTCTCATTAAGGGGTTTTGGAGTCTCTGGGTCCAAGTTTCGGGTCGACGGGGCAGCAGCTCCGCCTGTCTGAAGCACACACGCTGGAGCCTTGTCATATTTATATATGTATATTTATATTTCCAGTATACGTATATGTATATATGCAAATATGTATATATATGCATGTAAACATACATATACAGATACATATACATATACATATAAATATACATATACATATACATATACATATACATATGCATAGACATACACATAGACATATACATAGACATGTACACATACATATCACACACAGATATACATGTACATAGACATATGCATGTACATGTACATATACACACACATATACATAAACATATGCATGTAAATACACATATACATATACATCTACGTATACATATACACACACATAAACATATACATATACATATGCATATGCATATACATATTGACATATTTATGCATATACAAGTACATATACATATACGTGTACATATGCATACACATATACATATGTATATATATATATAGATGTACATATACACACACACATATATATATATATATAGATATATACATATACATATGCATGTCAATATACATACACATATACATATACCAGTACATATACATATACATAAACATACATACATATGTATGTATGTATGTATGTATGCATACATATGTATGTCTGTACACATGTATAGATGTATATGTATGTATGTAGATATATATATAGGCATACATATATGTGTATATGTGCATGTGGTTATACATATACATGCACATGCATCACCATGCACAATTGTATCATACTTGCCACTATGTTGCAGCAAAATTTTCGTAATTAGACGGGCTTGGAAGAGCTTGTTTGGAAAATTCAGGTGTTTGGCCTCATGGCTTGTACTCTAACGTCAGGACCCCTTCTTGACTCAGCTATATCGAGTCCCAGAGCACCCGAAGAATGCGAGCGCCGAGCAGATGTCGACCGCATCGAAACACGCCCGAACACCTGCCACTCATCCATTCCCGAAATCTGCGCCCCAAAGGGTTCTGGGTTTTAGGGCTTAGGATGTAGGGGTTTAGAGCAATCCTAAATTCAGGAACAACCCTTGCCCGTGGTCTAAGTCTATGTGTATGCCTTAAGTGAAGGGGCAAGATAAGGGATCTGAATGTAGTTTCTAAGTGCTGCAAGCTGCTAAAAGGACCCACCGGAAAGGACAATGATTCGGGGCCCGAGACCCCTGCATATGGGAATTTCAGTAGTAAAGGCCAGCCGAAGGAGCCCCTGATTTTGAGCTCCCCTCACTAAAGCCTAAACGACAAACTCTACAACGCTATACAGCTCTGACCCCATAATCTACGCTCCCAGAGATCCCAATACCGATACCCCTTCATTAAGGAATATACCTTAAACCGTAATATTGAGGCCCCTAACGTTTAAGGTATATTCCTTAATCAAGAAAAGCAGTGGGACCTCTGAGCTCTAAAGTGCTGACACCTCAAACCGTCAGCCCACTCAGACTCACGGTTGCGGATGGTCTGGGGCTTTAGCTTGCAAAGGGGGGTTACATACCCATGCACGTGTATGACATACTATGTATGCATGTATGCATGCATGCATGTACTCAGGCTTGTTTGTATGTGCTTGCATGTTTGTGTTTTTGCATGTTCGTATGTATACTATACTATGCTATACTGTACTATACTTTGTTATACTACACTATACTTTACTAGACTAGACTAGCCTAGACTGGACTAGACTATGCCATACAGTACTATACAATACCACACTATACCATATCGGGCTGTCTATTGTTGTGTCTGTGTATCTATTTTCCATCCATCCATTTGCCTAGGGAAAAGTAATGAACAGGTTCACAACCATCCTGGCCTAAACCCTAAACTCCAAACCAAAGCCAGACATACCCAGAACGCCCAATACCCCTTAATTAAGCAATATAGCTTAAATCATAACATTAAGCCCTATATCTTTTAAGCCATATTCCTCAATTAAGGGGTATTGGGCTTTCTGGGTACCTGAGAGAAGTGAAAAGTTGGCACCCTCACGGAGCTAAGCAACACTTTTACGGCTAAGGGGCTAAAGGAGCTCTTCCGTAGTAGAAAAATGTGAGGCTTTTGCTAGAGCATTTATAGATACGAACAGCATTGCACAATCTAAACCCTAAACCCTAAACCTTGATCCTACATGGAAACCAGACTGCATTGCACAACTCCCGAAAGCGCCTTCTCCAACCCCCAAAAACGTTTCCTCCCAGAGACTCCAATACCCCTTCATTAAGGAATATTCCTTAAATCATATTAGGGATCCTACTATAATTCAAGGTATATTCCTTAATCAAGGGATATTGGAGTCTCAGGGCTCTCGCCTGGGTTGCGCATGACTTGCCGAAACATATCGAAGTCCATCGACTCGTTCACATCGTACTGCAGGCCTTTCAATACTGTACTTGGAGGTTCCTGGGTGGTTATAAGGGTTCCTTTAAGGGTCCCTCTAAAGGGGTCTATAGGGATTCTATAAGGGTATAGGGTTTAGGGTTTAGGGACCTACTTGGAGGTTCATGGGTGGTTATAAGTAGGGTTATAAGTACGGTGACTATACTTTTTATAGCCCATGTGAAGGGGCTTATAACCCCACTTATAACTACCCCAGAGGATTCCTTAAGCGGTTCGGCGATTGGGGCTTCGGAGTCTCAGGTTGGGCTAAGATTTAGGGTTTCGGAGCTCTGGGGTTTCGAAAAATCCGGGGCCCGTCTGTAGAGATAGGGACCCTACCATCTGGGATGAAATACAGGGATCACTTGCGTTGCGAAAGTCTTAGCCTATAAACCTAATACCTAAACACTAGCTGAGTTTGGGAGCTGACTTCAGGCAAAAAGCTTCAAGGTCCGTGTGTTGGGCTTTTGAAGACCCTTAACCGAGGAAAGCCCTGCACAATCGAAGGTATATGCCGTCAGAAGTGTTGGGTTCCTGGGAGAAGCCCTTGTAAAGCCTTGTAGATCCATGGTTCAAGGGTAATATCGAAGCCTTTACCCAGAGAGCCCAATACCCCCTAATTAAGGAATCTGGCCTAAATCATAATATGAAGCCCTATATAATTTAAGCCATATCCCTTAATTAAGGGGTATTGGGCTCTCTGGGTACAACCAGAATAGGCTTCTGGGGTATCGCATCGGATGCTCCTAAGGGTAGTTCTCTAAATCGATGGAAGAAACCCTGTAGTACAGCACCCTTCCAACAAGGACCTTGAAAGGGTACCCTACATTTAGAGAACTTCCTATAAACCCTAATTACCGGCTAAACCTTACACCCTAACCCGTTAAAGCATCAAAAAGCCGCTGAACCCTAAACCCTAAACCCTAAACCCTAAACCCTAAACCCTAAACCCTAAACCGTATAATAAGGAGCCCTTAAAGGCACCCTGCGCTCGTCGAGAATGGCCGGCTCTCTTTTCGCGCGTCGCAAACTCGGTGCACAGAGGCGCAGCTTGGACTTATCAGCCCCCAAGGTGTCGCGTAAGAAGGAAGTCCTTAAAGTTGGGGTAGGAAGGGTTTTCGGTCTTCTTAGTGCAGAATTCGGGCTTAGGGTCTAGGCTTTAGAAGGGCTTAGGGTGAATGCATTCGGGTTTAGGGTTCAGGCTGTAGGGGAATTTAAAGCCTTTTTCCGCGCAGGCAAGCGGTGCCAGCGTTTGGACGTTGGGGCTGTAGGGCGTAACGAATGCGGATGGGTAGTGGGTAGCAGTCGTGGATCACCTTGATGTGAGCTAGAATGCACGAGTTTGGAAAAGTCGGCCCCAGGGCAGACGGCGTGCTAAGACTCTGTTGAAAAGCCGGAAAGGAGCAGGCCTGTTTGGGTCGTGTCAAGGTAACCTTCACCCTAAGCCTTTGGAAAAACATCGCAGATAATTCCCTAAACCCTGCTTGTGAACCCAAACGGACACTCCTGGAATCGATCGGAATAAAACAGCTGGCGTCTAAGACGGGCCAACTCTGCTATGTGCGAGCCTGACTCAGCATGGTCTCCTTGATCAACTTCCACACCTTCATGAAAGCATGCCTGGGACAGCATCTAGGGTTCGAAGTTTCAGTATTTACCTCGACCCTATAAGTCCTGCAAAGGTACGTTGTCTGGACTAAGGTAGGACCTAGGGAAAGTGCATGAAGCCAAACGAAATACAGAGCATCGGTCCAGCCCAGGTTTGTTTTTGTTGAAATGATCCGAGGATTCCAACCTCAGACAAGCCCGAAAAAGCGCATATAGGCGCGTTAGCAATTGGAATCTGAGTTTGGGGGGTATAATGTTATACTAATTGCAAACCCTAAATGATGTTGGCAGTTGTTCAGGCTTCGTTTTCCCAGAACCGAACGCCAGCCCTGCGAAAAAATCATGAAAGCAACAGCCTCAAGACCCTCAGCCCTGCCTTTAATTTAAAGTGACACCAAACGCTGCACCCCAAAAGGCTCAACCCTCAACTCCAAAGACAAAACTCAACCCTGAACCGTATCAGGACCCCCGAAGGCCCGTTAATAGAGCCCTTAAGGCTCTCAATAGTGGGCCTTTGGGGTAGTTGGGGGTCTAGGACCTAAACCCTAAACCCCGTTACTAAACCCTAAACCCTAATCTCCATTACTAAACCCTAAACCGAAAATGAGAGGCGTACTATCAGGCCCATGGACTCGCAGCTTTTTTGGCCCTCCCGTCCTTCCCTGGGAACACTAAGCCTAAAGCCAAGAGCCTGAACCCCAACTCTGACACCCTAAACCCACAAGCCCCAAACAGCTAACCTAAACCCTAAACCCTTAAAACCTCTGAACCCGAAACCCACACCCGCAACCCCAAAAAAGCAAACCCCAAACGGTGGCAGGAGGCTTCACCGGCTCAGTAAACTGCCTCCCCAGAACCACCTCATTTTTAGGGTTTAGGATTTAGGGGTTTTTGTTGAACGCCTCTTAGGGTTTAGGGTTTAGGCTGCATAGTGGCTGAGGTCTTTGGAGATTGTGGGCGGTGTGGGGGCCCATTTTCCTTTTAGAACAATAACAATAACAACAATAATGTTAATAATAAGGAACCCCCCCAACATAGCAATGGTAAATAGTTTAAAGCTTACTGGGATCGGGGCTCAAGGCTTACCTTAACTCCAAATAACCTACCTTTTTAAGGACTTACATAAAGAAATCATATTCGGGAACCCTAACAAAGGTAGGTTCCCTAAACTCCAGGTAGGTGTTTTCAGATGGTTGGGGTTCCTTCCGGGGTTTTCTGTGCAGGTACCGTGCAAGTGGGGATTTTTGGGGGGGGGGGGCGTTTTAAGGGCTTAGGGTTTTGAGATTTAGTGCTTGGCGGGTTAAGGCTCTGGGTTTAAGGTTTAGGGCTTAGTGCTTAGTGGGTTAAGGCCAAGGCCGTGGGTTTAGGGTTTGGGGTTTAGAGATTAGGGCTCCGGGTTTAGGGTTTAGGGATTAGGGCGTCTCGCCGCGCAGCGGCAGTATTTTCTATGTAGGATGGCGCCCCAACACTCCCAGGGGTGTGGGGGGGCGGCATATCCACGTCTGGCGTTCGAATGCGATTCCACCACCAAACAAACCTTTTCCCACCCGCTGTGAGAATACACAGGCTACCACCCAAAATATTGCCTTTTAGGGTTTAGGGCTTACGCCCTCAATTCCCACCTGCCCCTGGTGGGGGGGCCAGGGGGACCAGGGCCGGCAGAAAGAGGCCAAACAACCAGAAAAAGGGCAGAAAAGACGCCAGGTCTCCCCCCAGGAGCCCCCTGGGTCCCTGGAATCTGCCAGCTGGGGTGCCCCCTGGGCCGGCCTCTGGGGCCTTTTCTGAAGGGAGCCAAATGGAAACGCCCACCAAGAGATTTGGTCATCGGATTTGGGGTGTTCTCATCTCTTGAGATTCGAGGGAATTCCCTCTGCGAATATGCGCGCCACGCAAGGGGCCTAATGGCTTGGCTCAGCCCTAGGGGCTGAATTCGACGATTCTCCAATGGCTCCGCCCATTATCCATCCAGAGTTGGTGTCAATCACTGCCGGGTTTCCTTCTGGGTCCAGGCACCCTAAGAAAAAGGGTGGGTACTACGGCTCTGGGTGGTTCATATTCTCGGGCTGCGGGGGTTAAGGCTGTGAGGGGGCGAAGGCAGGATTTGAGACAGAAGCCTGGATAAAGAGTGATCCCATTCCTTGGGGCCCATGGTTATACATCCAGCACAGTATACCCGGTATACCCTATCCCTAGTCTACCCCTAACCCCCCTAACCCTAAACCCTACAGCTCTAAGTGGTAACCAGTAAAAAGAGCCTCTGCTTTAAGCTTGGAGGGTCTTTGGTGCTCAGTCACATTATTCCTTAAGGGGTCCTCCATGTTACATATAGTAAAGCATTGCTACAGTATGGCCAGAGTATTTAGGGTTTGGAGTTTAGGAGTACTACGATATACCCAAGAACCCCTAGTCTAAGCAGTAAGGCTTGGGGAGGCCTTTGAGGTCCAGGGCTCTGGGATTGAAGACTTGAGTGATTCCTCACGCGAACCCGTGGTGCTGTCCTCGGGAATCTGGGACGGCCTGCAACTCATATAGGGGCCCTCAATTAGTTCCTAAGAATTTTGGGTATACTATGAGGGAAGAGCTTTGCTGATTATTTCCACCCCTATATCACCCTATATCACCCTCTGGAGCATTATCCAAATCCTGTCTGATAGGCTGAACCCCGAACTCTGAAACCTCAAGCCCTAAGCTGTTAAACCGTGAAGCCCGAAAAAACGCAGACCTGAACCCGAACACCTGAACCCTACACCCAGAAGCCGTGCACCTAAGCTGGAACCCTGTTCCCAAACCCTGAACCCCAACCCGTGTAGAATCTAAGCCCTAGGCCCTACACCCGAAAACGGCGGAGGGCCTCGAGCGTGGATATCAAGGCTATGCCGACCAAGTCGTAGTGCGTTGCCTGAACCTGCTTAATTCATGCAGGGGCCTTGATAATTAGGACAGGGTTTGGGCATAATCATGGTAAAGGCGGAGTGTTGGTAACGCTTCAAGCTTATAATTAAACTAGGGTTTAGGGTTTAGGGTGTAGGGTTTAGGGTTTAGGGATTATGTGTTTGGTTGGTCGGATTTGCTTCATGACTTAGAGCTTCGAATGTAGGTTCAGCCGAAGGAACCCTGTAAAGGGACCCCGCTGGGGAAGCCCACCTGAAACCCTAAACCCTAAACTTGAAACTCTAAACCCTGAAATCCTGTTATACCCTAGGAACCCTTTAAAAGGAGCACTTTGGAGGAACCCTTCAAGGGAGCCCTTCAAGGGACCCTTTAAAGGAACCCTTGAAGGACGCTATAGTAGCCTAGAGTACCCTTGCAGGGACCCTTGACCCTAAACCCTAAAACCCTAAACCCTAGAACCCTAAAACCCTGAAACCCTAACCCTAAAGCCTTAAAAACCCAAAACCCTAAACCCTAAAACCCTAAAACCCTAAGCCCTAAACCCCAGGGACCCTTAAAGGGAACCCTTTCAAAGAAGGAGCTTGGAGGGTCGGGGGACTTAGTAAGTAGGTAGTAAGTAGACTTATAAGTACCCCTAAAAGGGACCCTAATTGGGGTTATAGTACTTATAAGTCCCTAAAATAACCACTTACTAAGTCCCCTAAACCCTAAACCCTTATAGAATCCCTATAGATCCCTTTAAGGGGCCCCTTTAAAGGAACCCTTTATGGTTACTAAGTCCCCTAAAGACCCTCCAAGAGGAGGCCAAGGAGCCCCGAAGCCCGCGTGTTGCAGGCCCAGGCCCTCGAGGATGGGTACCAGCCTCGGTCTTCGTAATATCGGGGCCTTAAAGGGATCCTTTAAGGGATCCTTTAAGGGATCCTTAAAGGGATCCTTAAAGGGTCTAAGGTTTAGGGTTTAGGGTTTGGGGTTTAGGGTTTCGGGTTTGGGGTTTAGGGTTTAGGGTTTAGGGTTTAGGGTTTTGGGGCCTTGATGATTAGAATAGGGTTCCTTTAAAAGGATCCATTATAAGGGCTACTTCAAGAGCTATTGTAGGGATGTAATATAGGGGCCTCAATGATTAGAAGAGGGTTCCTTCAAAGGGGTCTACAAGGGCTACTATAGGGGCTATTATAGGGATGTATTATAGGGCCTTAATGATTAGAATAGGGTTTGGGGGCCCAGCATACGCCCCAACATCTACAACACCAGCAATATGGGGGGCCTTAAAAAAATAGAATAGGGCTGGGGGCCCATCATACTATAATTATGATAAGGAACCCCCGCAAATAGTATTGGTAAATATTTAGGCATCTATGCTACTCTTTGAACTTACTTAGAGACCCAGGAAACTTCGTAAGTCGGTTATAACAGCAGGGCTATAGTTGGGGTAACTCTATTTAAGGTACTCTCTGAATTTATGCTTTTTTGGGTTTGGGGCTTGGGGTTTGGGAACAAGGGCGAAGGAAGTGAGGGTCCAATGCCAATGTGGCTTAAGTTTAAGGTCTTTTGGGTTCAAGGTGTTGGGGTGGTTGGGTTTAGGGTTTCGGGTTCTAGGGTTTAGGATTTTAGGGTTTCGGGTTTAGGGCTTGAGGGTTGGTGTTTGGGATTAGGTTTTAGGGCTTAGGGCTTAGGGCTTAGGGTTTAGGGTTCTCATGCGTTGTTCCTTTTTTCTCGTCGCTGGAAGACGCACTCACGAATTCCAAACATGCCGCTAGAGCAGCTGGCTGCCAGTCAGTAGCAAGGGTTTTGGGTCTAGGGCTTCGGGAATTAGGGAATAGGTTTCAGGATTTAGGGATTGCTAGTGCTCCTGCAACTGCTACTGCTACTGTCCTCCTCCTCCTCTTGCCCGCTCCTCCTCCTCCTCCTGCGCTGCTCCCTACAAGTGCCACCACTGCCAGGGATCAGCAGCACTATCTTTGCAGTCCGAAGCGGCTGGTCCAACTCGCGCAGCATGGACACAGCAGTCGCCACCTTGCACGGGCAATGCTGCTGCGATCAAGACATCAGAACTATTTCGGCAGTTTGGGATTGAATTCACACCATCGCCTTCGAAGCGACATCCACCGAGAAAAAACTAAGAAAACTCCATATCGCAATATATGTTGATGGAAAACAGCCACAAGGTCAAAGGGGGGGAAGAGCCCAACCACCAACAGATAGCAACAAAGCAAGTAAGCAAGTGAGTAAGACGTTGATTAATTCATGAAGCAATTAATTAGATAATTAATTAAATAATGAGCTAACTAATCAATTAAGTGAGTGAGTGAGTGCGTATGTATGTATGTATGTATGTATACATGTATGTACGGATGATGCGTGCATGCACATGTGTGTGTGTATGTGAACGTATGTATGTATATATATATATATACACACGTGTAGAAACATCCTGCGTATAGACATATATGTATTGTGGACAGTGCGCATATCAGTATGATACATTGTACATTTACATATACATACACCAGGTACCACCTACCACCACTGCCGACCCTGGCTTGCGCGAAGCGAGTTGAACTCGAATCCCTGAAACCCAGACCTGCAAACAAAAACAAAAGAACCAAACCCCTAACCCATAAAGCCAACAGTCCCTAAAACCTTAAACACCTCAATCCTAAACCTCGTATGGAACCCTTATGCGACCCCATAAGATCCCCACCAAGAAAGCAGAATCCGAACACCTCAAATCCTACACCTTTTCAGCACCGCTCAAGGAGCCCTTATAATGCTCTTATACCAGATCACAACAATATGTTATAGTGCATAATGTTTTATTACCCCATGGTGTATTCTATCTATCATGTCCTAGTATATAATGGTGTATTCTATTAGACTGTAGTCTATGATGTTAGACTTACATCACACATATTTCAGTACGCTCAGATATCTATGGTCTACCGATAAGCTCATACCCTAACCCCCTTTTCTACGGTAACTAGTTAGTTCTTTAGTTAGGATTTGTTATATACAAGAGAAGTAGGTAAACTAAAGCAGGGGTAGGGTGTGAGCCTACAGTAATGCTTCAAAGTAGCCAGATATCTGTGGTCCATTATAAACCCGAAACCCTAAACCCTAAACCCGAAACCCTAAACCCGAAACCCTAAACCGCCAGAAAAGCAGGGCACCGTCTCCATCAGCTTCAGCGCATGCAGCTCTAGGTTCCCCCCGGGCCTCACAAGTAGCCGAGATGGGGTGGAGAGTCTCCTTTAAAGGGATCTGTAGAGCGTTCTGTAGGGTTCCTTTAAAGGGATCTATAGAGCGTTCTGTAGGGTTCCTTTAAAGGGGTCTATGGGGTGATCTCTAGGGTTCCGTTAAAGGGAACTACAGGTGTTCTCTAGGGTTCCTTCAAAGGGATCTCTGGGGCGTTCTCTATCTATGGGGCGTTCTCTAGGGTTCCTTTAAAGGGATCTATATACAGGGATTTATGGTTTAGAGCCTAAGGGCTCTGGGGTTTAGAGTCGAAGGGATTGGGGGTTTAAAGGCTTAGAGTCTAAGGGTTTAGGGATTTAGTGTCTAAGGGTTGACGGATTTAAGGGTTTAGGGGTTTAGGGCTGAGGGGCTGTGGGGTGGAGGGCCTTAGGGGGTTTGACATCAACATCAGGGCTGTGGCCTTTGACAGGCTTCTCCAAGGATTCTATGAGGGTTCCAAAAAGGGTTCAAAAAGGGTTCTACAGGGGCTCTCTCAGGGTTCTGATAGGGATTCTTTTTCTTAAAGTGATAGGGATTCAGGGTTTAGAGTTTCAGGTCGAGGTCTGTGGGTGTAAATCTGAAGACTTTGGGTTCAGGGTTTAGGGCGTGTATACGGTGCCCACGCGTCATGTTCGTGTCTTTTGGAATCGGGGATCACCCACTTGTCCCTAGCTCGCCCAACATGACATCCAAAAACACGCAAAGAAAACTTCAAAGGTCGAGAAGCCAACCACATCTTGTCCGACGCTGCATACCCCGACACCCCAAATCTCGAATCCCTAACCCGAAAGTTAAACCCGAACCCCGGCCAAAACCTAAGCCCGAAGCCCGAAGCCGAAAATCCCACACCCAGAACCGTACTCCTCACACCCGAAACCATAGAACCCCTTATAGTAACCCTCCATAGTAACCTTATAGCAACCCTTAAAGTAACCCTTGTAGTAACCCTTACAATCAAGCCCTGACTCCCACTTCCCGAAACCCACCGTCCACAGGATCTTAAATACAGCTACCAGACTAAGATGAAAAATTGAAGCATGCGCTATGCTGCGGGAACCCCAAATCCTAAGCACGAACTCAATCCAAACTACAAACCCTAAACCCCAAAAACCTGAACCACGAAAGGAGTCCCTTAAGCAACCCCTGAGGGAAAGAACCTAAGCCCCAAACAAACCCTAAACCCTAAACAAACCCTGAACCCTAGACCCAAAACCTGACATCCTGAACCCCAAACCCTCCACCTCACACTCACACCCTAAACTATAGAACTTATAGTAACCCTTATTTGTAACCCTACTTGGAGGCCCAGTCCCGTTATAAGTACAGTTATAAGTACCATGAATAGCCCCAAATATAGCCCTACTTATAACCTACTTACTAAGTCCCCTGGGACTCCAAGTAACCCTAAAACCTCCCTTATAGAACTCTTATAGATCCCTTTAAAGAGCCCTGTGAGGAACCCTTTAAGGAACCTTAATTACTAAGTCCCCTGGGCCTCCAAGTATAGTAACCCTCAAGCGGCCCAGCCTGTAGAGATTAGCCTCGCCTCTGGCGAAAGGAAAAAGATCCACGGCGCCGGGTGCGACCTTGAAGATGTTCCTGGGAGAAGCTACGAAGGGTTTAGGGGGTTGAGAGTTTAGGGTTTAGGGGTTTAGGGGTTTGGTTGGGGCTTAGTTGCCTCTTCGCACTTTCGGGCTTTTCGGGCTTCAGGCTTGTAAGGCCTGCGGTTGAGCGGTTGTCTCGAACATCAGACAATGCCAAGGACAGGGGCACTAAACCCTAAACCCCCAAGTTGGCTGCCAAACCCTAAACCCAAGCCCTCTAGACAGAAATGAACTCAAATCGTATGTTCCAGGACCCAGTCCCAACTCAAATACAGCCTCTATAGACCCCCGACATCCTAAACCCTAAACTCCCCGCAACCCTCTAAACCCGAATTCCGAAGCTCCACCCATCCCTAAACTCTGAATCCCAAACTCTATCAACCGCGAAGACCTAATATAGGGGCCTTCATAATTAGACTAGGGTTTTGGGCTCAATCATAGTATAACTATACTACGGAACCCTAAGGAATTATTTAGGCCTCTATACTAGTCGCACTGCTGCCAGGGAGTCATGAAGAGCAGCTTCCCCACATTCTTCGCCCCCAGGCGCGCGACGTGCGCGAACGAGGCCTGGACCTGAGTCTGCATCAAATGAGGGGTTCCTCTTAGAGTTTCTACACAAGTTCCTTTAAGGGTTCTTTCAAGGATTACTATAAGGGCTCCTGTCGGTGATTATGGGGGTGTAAAGTAAAATGAAGGGTTGAAGGTTCAGGGTTTGGGGTGTAAGGTTTAAGGTTCAGGGTTCAGGATTGAGGGAGTTTAGGGTTCAGGGTTTCGGGCCTAGGGTTTAGGGTTAGTAGGAGCTCATGGTTTTGTGTTGTAGGACCGGTCTAGGTGTCAGGGTTTTGGGTGCAGATCGCAGTATGGCTTTTTGTGTGGCTCTGATGCACTTTCAACGGGGGTTTATGGAAACGTATCGGGGTTTTTGGCGGTGCTTCAGTGTCCTGGTACCCCTACACAATCATAGCACGGACTCCACTTACCTGGGGCCTTCATGGGCACAGGTTGTCAAGCCGCAAGCTGAATGTCACGCTCATCCAGGGGCGCGTTGACGTCCACCGGAGGGCTCTGCAGATCGATCGCGAGGGCCATGGCTTCGAAGACTCGGGAAAAATCTCTAGCTTCTTGGGCTTTCGGGTGCGTTTCGAGGGGCGAGATGGAGGGAGGAAGAGAGGGAGGGAGGGAGGGAAGGATGGTAGAATAGGACGCTTTACTTGGAGTAGGGCTTTGGGAGTAGAACCTACCACTTCTAGCATAGTAGAATTCAAGGAGCCCGAGGGGCCTAGGGGTCCGTATGTCCAGATTTAGATGCTGCAGAAAGTGCTACACTCTGTGCTGCAACCATGGAATTCCCAGAGACTCCAATATCCCTTAATTAAGGAATATACCTTAAATTATAGTAGGATCCTTAACCATGGAATTTAAAGTCTAAACCCTAAACCCTGCATCCTTGGCATTGGGCGTCTGCTACGCCACCCAGCGTGCGTTCTTGACACGACCGTCCCAGGCAAGAGCCGGCAGCGGTGCAAGGCGTGCACAAATTCTTCGGCCTGAACCCCTAAACTTTTCGGACCTAGACTCAGTCCCCTAGTTCCTGAAGCTCTATTTGCAAACTACGGGACTCAAAGTCTCAGGTTTGGGGTTTGAGGGTTTAGGAGCAAGTCTTACGAGGTACCAAGCACAACTTTTTACGGAGGTGCATCTCTGGGGATGATAGCTTGCAGCCGGGAATTTGGAGTCTTTCGTGGCTTACGGTTTAAGGTTTAGGGTTTAGGGGTGTAGGGCTTAGGGTTGATTCGCAGGTGCTGACGTATGATGTAAGGCCTTTGGAGTGTTTTCATTCGGGGGACGTCTGCTGCACCCTTCCCTCCACGCGCCTTCAAGGACCATGCAGTCCAACACCACCTGCTGTGCCAAAGTCTTAAACCCCAAGAGCCAGCAAAGAAGGTGCAGAAAAGGACGACTTTCGGCACCACACAAAGGCATACGTGGCAAGAGAGCATTGAAAAAAGAGTTGCATCGGAACAGAATTGCGGATACCCTGACTTCTTTTACTGGAAATGAGCCTCAACCACAAGTACGACGACTACTGCTACTTCTTCTGTTTCTTCTACCATGATGACTTCTTCGGCTGCTGCTGCTGCTGCTGGCAATACTACCGTGACTAGCACCACCGCTGCAACCCAATACACCTGCTATGTCTACTGCATGACCAGATGACGAAGACGAGTACCACAACGACGAAGGTCACGGTGGAGCGTGCATGGTCATGACGATGGTAATGATAATGACGATGACAAAGACGAAAGCAGCAATGACGACGAATATGATAATAAGGATGACGATGACAGAAGGCGTTTATAATGCGGGGACGGTGCGTGCGCCATCGTCTTGAAACTCTGAAAGCTGCACAGGTCACGAAACTGATGTTGGCTCTCAGAGAGATGCGTGTTTGGCCAGCCGAGGGACTCAGGATTCTGCTTCAACTCAGGTTTTCAAGCTGTGGCTGTGCAGTTTGGGATGGGGGTTTGGAATGGACGGCAATCGACCCTGAACCCTAAACCCTAAACCCTGAACCCTGCCTCCTTCAGCTTCTCGAACTCCCGATAGGACTGAGCCTGCTTGTTCAGCGACGGTTGTGGAGTCCAGGGCGCTGAGGGGGTCTCACATCAGTCCTCGTCGTCCCTATCTCTCTCTCTCTCTCTCTCTCTCTCTCTCTCTCTCTATCTATATATATATATATATATGGTTCTATAGTTACTGCTTTACTTCAAGGTTCTGGGTTTGGGAGTTAAAGTCCTAGTTGGCGCATAGGAAGTACGGTTGAAGGCTTAAGGTTGAGGAGGGCTTTGGGCTTAGGGCTCAAGGCTTAAGGTTTAAGGGTTTGGGGATTTAGGCTTCAGGCCTTTAGCTATGGGTTTAGGGTTCGGGGTATAGGCTTATGGTTTGGGCTTAGGGCATAGGATTTGGGGCCAGGGTTTGGGGTTTATGTAAGGTTTAGGGTTTGGGAGCAGAAGAGAAACATGCTTTACCGTCGACTGCTTCTCTCCTTTTGCCCCTTCAGCCCAAAAGCTCGTTTGGAATCTGAGGCCTTCCTGATATTCAGGAGGCTGCCTCCACATCCAGGGTGGGACGGGAGGGACCCGAAAGCCGCCGAACCTACTCTCAGCAAGCATGCTAAAGTCATGCTTTACCGTCGACTGCTTCTCTCCTTTTGCCCCTTCAGCCCAAAAGCTCGTTTGGAATCTGAGGCCTTCCTGATATTCAGGAGGCTGCCTCCACATCCGCACCACCACAGGCCGCAACGCGCGCCGCTTTCAGGTTGATGGCTCTTTGCTCGACGGCGCGGTAGAGGCAGCCGGCGACCTTGATCTTCCGCCGGGCCTCGCTCGGGAGAGAAGGCAGAACGGAAAATCCTGTCATCTCCTGCAAGTAGTGCTCCAGAGTGACCTGCGACTTTAGCCTCATCCTCCACATCAAATCTGGCACGGCAGCTCCTTTTTGGAAGGCGGCAATCGCACCTCCAGCTCGAACAGAAGCAGGCGTCAGCGCAGCAGTCGGAGGAATTTTCAAAGCTTTGAGCAACAGGTCCCAACGACGTCGGTAGGCTGAAGGACTGCCAGGATACAAAGGCTTGTTCCGAGGCAGCCGGTCCCAGACTGCAATGGCGATTTCCAGGGCAGTCTCCTCGTTCAGCTTTACGTGTTGCACCTTAGCAGCTTTTCGCCTGGACTTAGGCCCGCGAATCCGTAAGTACAGCCACGTGTGCAGCAAGTCAAGAGTGTCCTCTGGCGTCAGGAGGTCCCGTCGGAGGCCCCGAAGGACCTCACCAGGTCTGGCAGTCTGGCAATGAAGTAAAACATGGCAAGAGTGGTGGCAGCCCAGACTCGCCAACCGTAATCGAAAGCCAATCCAACCATCGCCTTTAGCACGGGCTCCGGGAGGGGCGTCCTGTGGCAAACCGGCTGCAGCTCCTCCCACCGTGTAACCATGTTCCAAGCGACGCTCATATATGGTTTCACCAGCGGAACCAGTTTCTGAGAGTGGGCAAGCAGCTGCCTGTACGAACCCAAAGGGAAGCCAGTCTGGTAAAGCTCGTCGCCGTAGTCCCTCAGCATAAGGGCCAGCAACGGGGGGCATCGGAAGACGCCGAGAACGGCGCCCTCCGATAACCCCTCGCGCAGCCAAGCCAGAAAAACGGTCCAGATCTGGGCTCGAACCCTCAATGTAGAAGCTTCGACCAACTCCACATCAAAGAGGGATCCCCGCCTCGGCACTCGTTTCGGAGGTCCAGGGTTTGGAGCTTCTCCAACTCGTCGGTGGCCGACGAAAGCGCAGCCAGACCCTTTCCCAGTGTACGGCCCACGTAGTTCGGCCAAGTTTGCAGCAAGGAGGGAAGCAGCTCCACGAGGAAAATCCCCGGGCACGGCACTGAGGTCGCCGCCACCTTTTCCGCTCCGGCCTCGAAGACGAACGTGAGCGTGGCCCCCCAAACAGAGGTGGTTTTGCCCTGCCAGGTTTCCAGTCAAGACGACCTTGGTTCGCTTTTGCCATGGCTCAGAAAAACGGCAGCGGTCAAAAGTCCAACAACTGTTCTCAGGAAGCCGGCCGAGGACCTGGGTGAGAGCAGGATAAGTCCACATCATGGAGGAAGCGGGGCCGCAAATCCAAAAAGGAATCCCAAAGTCCAAGAGGGCAGAAGCGAAGGATGCACAGAAATCAAGTGCATTATTCTCGGCTTCGACCTTTGCAAGGCTGTGCTGTCCTAGATCCGGGCAGCCACAGGGATATTTCTGACTGCGGTACCGAGGCTGAGCAGCCTGAGAGAAAGTGGACCCTGGAGGCAAAAACCCGACACACTCAAAAAACCCGACACACTCAAAAGCCCCTATCTGCAAACCGGCACGCAGCATTTCCTGCACCGAAGCTTGGCCGAGATCCTGGGTCTCGCCGTGCAACCAGCTGAACCTAAGGGCGGCATTTCCCGTAAGCTCACAGTAAGCTTTGGCAACAGAACACTTTTCAGCGTACAGGCTGAGGTACACAGGGCCCTCGGGTCTCGCAGTGGCTTTCGGTCTCCGCCCGCCAGGCCACAAGAATTGGCCCGCTCGGCAGCGAAGGAAAAACTTCTTGACGGCAGGAGTTTTGGAGAGAAAGTCGTCGGCGGCAAGCGGGCTCCCCTTTTCACGCTGATGCTCAACACTCACCGGTGGTATCGTAGGCTCCTGCAAACTGTCTTCGCACTGGCCCTCGGAGGAGACTCGACAAGGGCTACTAAGGCTACTAGAGGGCAGAGGCTCACCACACCGCGCTGCAAATGAAGACAAAAGCTCGGGCAGTCCCTGGAGCTGCTCCGGAAGCAACTCACGCGCTTGCAAAAAAGCATCAAGCAGGCTAAAGTCCCCACGCGACCCAGCTTCAAACCAAGCCGGCGGAGACACAGCGGGAGAGCGGATCGGCCGCAGCCGGCTCGGGTCATCAGACGGATTGTCCTCCGAAGCCACAAAGCTGTAGGAGGGATGTAAGTTGAAAAACACGTAGCTCGGAATGGAGCTCTGAAGTGCCACGTTAAGACTGCTGGAGCTTGACCTGCCCTTCACCAGGGCACCTAGCACGACTTGCGAATCGAGCAACCCGACGGTCCTAGCCGACTCCCAACAACCAGCACCCAACTTCTCTTCGGTGATGATATAGCTCTCGGCTTCCTTCAAGTTGATGTGTGAGGAGGCCCGCCGCGGGAAAGCACTAATCACCTCGAAAGGGAGGAAGCGGCACATTGCAGACCACATAGCATGGGTCCTGTAGGTGTCCCCGGGCAGCTCGGCTTCACTATCAAGCATGCCGGCGCGACGCAGTAGCACTTGGCTGGGGCGCAACAGTCGGTTCCACAAGCCCTTGCATAGGGAGTGCCGGTGAGCTTCGCGGGCCCAATGCTCCCCAACGTGCACCCCGGCGGCGGCGCCGACTAAGTCCGAGGAGTCGGTGCACACAAGGTAATCGGAACTTTGGGCACGCATGTCACAGACTATGAAGGGCGCGAGCGCACACAAGGTCCAAAGCTCAGCCCGCAGACAAGCACTGGTCCGGACAAC